ATTCAGGTCAGACATCAATCATCTGCTAAGCTCATCTGGAACAATGAAGGTCTAAAGCTGGCATTCAGCACCCACAGAGAACAATGTAAGGTATGCCTAAGTTATGTGAACATACTGCTGAACTTGTAATGTCTAGATTTATGTCTGCTGTATCCATAAATCAAAAAATTATTGACTATAAAGAAGTTTTTCCCACTTGCAGATGTTGTTCCAACTATAGCCATGTTATTTTTCACAAAATAACCAAGCAAGAAACTTCATAAATTTAACACATTGATCTTGGATTTAGGTATAAGGTTGGACTTCTTTAGAAAAATTTGAATGTTGTAAATATGCCCTTACGGGCAAATGAATCTTGCTGTCTTTAATGGTTCCATTCTGAACACATGACCTTAGAAGAGTGAAACTGTCAAAGGGTTGCAGACGGATTCCTCAATGGAGTAAAGTTACTGTGCTGGAAAGTTCTTTGCACTTTTTCCCAGCGCACACAGTATAGAACTTTAATTCTCAAAATCATCTCGGGACTACAGCTTAGTAAACTGGCACTATGTCTCATCAACAGGTATACAAACTGGGCCCCTGTGACTTGCCTAAGGTTCAAAACCTTAGAAAGTAAAGGCAATATAGGGTTCCCTTTTGATAGACTGGTGCTCTGATAATACTATGATTTTTTTTAAGATAGTAATAGGGGGGGCCTCCCTGGTGGCACAGCGGTTGAGCGCTGGGTTGCGAAGCTGCCTGCAGCCTCTGCAGCGCCGGTTCGATCCCCGGCTGCTCCCCGGCCACCGGAGGAGGGTCCCACATGGCACGCAGACCTCTCCTGCCGCCCGCTGCTCCCCTCAGCAGTGTACTTCGGTCCTTCTGCCTGCTCTGCTCCCCACTCTGGCTCTGGTGAATTCTCTCGCCCTCCCGCGCTTCTGACTGTACCCAATGCTTGTATAAATAAATAAAAATAAATCTTAAAAAAAAAAAAAAGATAGTAATAGGTACTGGAAAGAAGTCAGTGAAGTAATTACTAATGGATCCAGAATAAAAATCCAGAATGGATTAAATGCTTGGGAAAGAATAATTTTCTAAACTGGTGAGATAACTGTGGAAATGAGTTAGTGCATAAGCACTTACTGCATCCTTATTGAAGACAAAGGAAAAGTGATCAGCATTATCAAATTCTCCTGTGAGTACTTAAAAACAAAATTCACCTTCTCAGCTTTATTTCATGTCTCAGAAGTTTCTTAATAAGAGACTCAACATGACAGAATACCCAGAATTTGGTAGGTAATGAAAATATACTCAGATGGTGTTACCCTCCAAGCACTAGTACCTTAAAAAACAAAAAGAATATACGTAGGTGATATAATCAAGAACACAGAAATACAAACTTAAAGATTTGCTTCTTGGGAAGGTATTTAAACTCTCTAGGTATAAAATTTCTGATCTGTAAAACGGGATGATTTTTCAACAAGTTAATGTATATATATATATATATATATAACTCTTACGTTTGACCTGGTAGGTAGTCAGTGCTCAGTGCCTGCTAACCATGAAGTGCTAACTTTATTCTCCATGACTCTGGAATTGAATCAATGCTCTCTCCTACTACCCAATACTGAGGGAATAGGACCCCATTTCAATGAGCTACTTTCTCTCCTGCATTGTCAGAGATCTGCCAGATAAGCAGCATTAAAGATCAAACAAATGTCCCTTTATATGGCATTTCTCCAGAAGAATTAACTATGGTGTATGACTATGGGTGCTTTGGTGGCGGGCATGGTATAGTAACAACACCTAAAGAGGGAGATCCTATACCTCTAAAACACAAACAATATTGTAAATCATGTTACCTCAATTAAAAAAAGAAAAGAAAGAAGAAGCATAGTTCCAGGGTAACCAGCAATATAAATAGAATCTTGAATTGTGTTCAAGGAAGAAAAGGCATCTCATAAATAGTAATGTCCTAACAGGAATTTTTTTTAGGTGTTTATTTCCAGAATCAATTTACTATGAACGTGGGGGTGAGAGGGAGGAAAGAAAAAGAAACACAAGTGAGAAAAAAGAATAAAGCAAATCTGGCAAACTGACTCTTCCATTGACTCTTCCAGGACAAAAGCAATGACTTTTCCAAGAGGAGTTCAAACAAAGCTAGAACTTGAAAACAAAACAATGCAACAATGTACAAACAAGGGATTAAAAGGGGACAATTTATTTATAAGTTTTTAAAACCTATTTTGACATTTCTTTTCCACTGACTCTTATTAAACAAGTGGCAACAAAGGAAAATAAATGACGCTCTAAGGTCAGCTGTATTCTCCAGTGATGTGGTCAAAGATTTCTACCAGAGAAGTTAGCAATAGTGTTGGCAGGTGCTACTCATCTCATTTTGGGGTGAAGGATGAGAAAATGTTGGTGCTTCTTGCTCACATAATGGAATTTTATTGTGCAATGAATGGTTTGGGGATTCTGCTTCAGGTTTCTTGGATGCTGTGTGTAGTTTGTTCTCCTTGAGACCTGTCTTTGAAATGTTTTTATAAACATCTCATGATATTACAGAGTAGAAAGAAAAAAATGGAAGTTGGAGCTAGATCCATGAATAATTCATCTTACAGACCAGGAGATTTTGATTATTTGAGATGTGCTGCTTGAGCAAAGGGTGCTCTTATTAAAGATGTTTGAGGAACTGGGCATTTTCTTCCTAATGTTTAGGCTTTCCTAGAAGGATGCTATAGTCACAAGCTTAAATTCTCTTAGTGAATGGGGTGGGCACTATTGCAGAATATTTCTAAGGTTTGGAAAATTGGAGCAATTCCTCTGTGCTCTCTACATCAGGACCCTTCAACAGTAGTAATGATGATTATGATCTTGATGAGGACAAAATACATTTACCAACTGCTTATTTGAGCTATGTACCATTTTGAAGACATTTTATGCAAGTATCTCATTTAACCCTCATAAAACCCCATAACATGGTATTACTAACTTTACTAAGTGAGTAACATGAATAAGGAATCACAATACAAAACATGACGTCGGTCTTTGCTAACTAAGCAGAAGTACTAACAGAAGAATACACAAAAAATAGTGCAAGATGTACTACTTAACCCTTAAGGGTGATTCTGGAGTGCTGTACAGATGAAGAATACATCGACCAAAATTATGGATATCAGTGCTTTCCTAGCCAACCTGCTTAAGGCCAACCACCCTTGACCACAGCGGCTGCTCTGTTACTTGTCAAAAAATGTACTATGATAACCAAAAAAACAATTTCAAGATATAGTGTTACTGTCTGAAATTATTTCCTTTCACCTCTCTCCTCTTTCTTTCATGATTCTTTTACTTTTCTGTTTTCACTGACAACCACCAATTAACTCTTTTCTCTAATGAGCACATTTGTATGCAATCAATTAAGATTTTCTAGTCATTCTTTCACAGGAATCCAAGAGAGAGGTTAAGTAGCTTGTCCAAGGTTACACCCCTAATAAGGAAATATGTATTGGAACCCATCCTTATTTGCATTAGACAATCTCCAGAAACAGCTAAAATTTATGTGCCCACAGCTAGAATATGAAAGGAGTACTAAGTAAGAAAAATGGTAGCAAGTTCGATTTTGAAGCTGTAAAATTTTTCTCCTTCCCTTCCTCACTCACACACACACATACACACACACACTCACATTCACATTTCTCTTAAACACAAACAAGATTTTCAGTGATACCCATGAATTCTTTTCCATTTTAAGCATCCCTTTGGTAGTCATTTTAGCATGATTTTGTAAAGACAAATATTTTCATAAAAAGGAGATTGTCTTTAAAGTAGCCAAGGATTACAATGATTCCCAGTGTACAGGAGTGGCCCCAGGAGAGAGAGAGAGAGCACCTGTAGTTGTTGTTGAGGCCATATAGGGCATGTAGCTGTCTCACAGAGAGGTACACCAGGTTGCTGTGCAATCTGAGTTTTGTTCATTTTGTCCACCATCCCAAAAGAGTCACCACATTCTCCCCCCAGTCATCTCCAAACACCTTTATCTCCATCACGAAGCCCACAGGGTCTCTTGCAATACTTATGACTTTACAATTGTCAAAGCACTTTTAGCTATCTTATCATTAGTAAACTTGGTGCATGTTTCCAGAGTTTCAGAGCTTCCAACGCACCATCAGTGTCTCATACTATAACCACATTCTCCACTGAGCTTTACATATGGTATAAGCTTGATAAATATTTATAGATAACAGAAATCTGAGGCCTACACCCAGTGGTATTCTAGCAAATTTGGTAACTCTTCCCATATTCCCTTAAACATAAACAAAGACAAGTCAGCAGGAACCAACCAGAAGTATGTGACCAACTCTATTTGATGGCAGAAGTTGATCTTTCCAAATGGAAAATAGTCTTGATTTTCTGCTAGTTATCTTTTCCAGACTCCATATGTGCCGATTATTTTTTCCATTCACACACATATTCTTGGTGACCTTTTAATGGATGTCAGGAAACATTCCCCAAAATAAAGAATTGCCAATATATTTTCAGGTGCTGCTGGAGTAAGAAGGGGCTGCATTGATTTTTGTTCACAAGGCTGAATATAGAGGTTGAAAATCCTCTCTAGGTAATGGCAAGTGCCTTTCAAGTAACAATAAAATCTTTACATTGACCTTGAACTTTACAATTAAATAATTCCTTACTCCAACTCCTTACATAATTCAAAATAACCTCTTTTAAATCAAATTTGGTAATGATCTAAGTAAATGTGTCAGGGCACTCCAGGTCTAATTATAATAAAGTAAAAATCAAAATCAACAAGCAACTATAAACTAGAGACATACTATGGGGTGGAGGAAAAGGGGGAGGGATTAGAGTCAAAATAAGGGGGGGTGGGAATTGCATGGGGAATATAACTAAGATGAAAATGCATACATTGTGCAAAAATGAAAAATGATGTAAAATATATAAAATAAAAAGGAAAAAAAATTAGCAATACAAGTCCAAAAAAAAAAAAAGTAATGCTGTAATGCAGAATTTCTTCTATTTAAAGTTGAGTGAATGAGCTAGCTAATACAATAAATTGGAGAGAAGTGAGAAATGGAATTCATCAGGTCCTTGAATCTATACCTCTAGACTGTTTGAGCTGTGATACCATTAAGATATATCAGTCTCCTGAACACAGTCCCAATGTCCGCCCAGCCCGTGTTCTGGGACCTCTGTCTGGTAGGTCTATCTAGTGCTCAGTTCCATGCACAAGTTTATCACTGTTCTCTTCTGAACCAGGATTCCCTTTGCTCTGAGAAGATTGTCCTAGTCACCCAGTAAGTCCTTGGTAGTTACATGGCCAGGTCCTTCTGCATAGAAAGCATAGTTACCATCATCTACCAAGAAAAACACAAATAATTATAAATTTATGTGTTAGTAAACTGTACCTTGAATTACCACATTAAGACCCATGAAAATTTCATTTTATGTTCAGTACAAAAGTTTCTGAGGTTAAGGATACCAAGGGTTCAAGAAAATTATTATTTAAAAACTTTTCCACAAATAAGCAATTAATTATAAATGCTAACATGAACATCAGTTTAATCTATTAAAAGAAATAGTTCTTCTCTTTAGATAGACAACTACCAGGAGTTTTACAAAGAAACAAAAAAATCCAGTTCATTAATGTGCTAAATTAACTGCAATGATGAACCTGTCCATTAAACTCTTAATCAGGGCTGGCATTGAGACATAAAAAAAGTTTTCAAATAATTGATAGGTATATGATTTAAGTCTGGCTGAGAGTCAAATTAAGCAATAAGATCACAGAAATTTATACACATACACAACATACAGAAGTAGATATCAGGTTTCTATTGTAAAAGGCCTGGCAACACTGGGTTCACAGTCTCACAGAGCTAGCAACCAACTTGTAGTCACTGATGTATGGTGGGAAAGTCTGGGCTTTTGAGTATGCCATAGGCTCTATCCCTTCCAACTCTCTTAAACTCACTGGTTCAAAGAAACTGCCTCGCCCATAGAGGCGCTTGGGCATAGGATGAACCCTCGCACTGTTTACATATGTGTGTACGTATGTAATATTTTAAACGTGAACATGAAACTAATCTTTGCCATTTTGAACTGTCATGCCTAGACAGCTTAACTAATCCTTCTTTGTACTCAAAATATTCCACTTTCTCTGCTTTGTGCTAAACCTGAACAGCAAAATAAATGGGTAAAAGGAGTGTGAGCAGAGAAAGGGTCAATTGCGTTTGAAGCAGCCCACAGCAGTTTATACTGGCATCATTTCACCCTGAAGATTTTTCCTACTACTTTCTGGAAGCACTCTAATATAAAGCATTTTTCTGGTTTTTAGATTCAAACACATTCTAGTCTAACCACCTGTGTATGCAATTGATTTGGTTTTAACTTTGAGCTCCATCCTCAAACCAGACCTGGCACCTGCAGAAGAAAATACCAGGGGCAAAAATAGAGCAAGTGGGGCCACAGAATAGTGTAATATCCTCCCACTGTGGTTCATAGAGGATGCTGTTTCAGGGTGTGCATTTCATCTCACGAGACTCCAGACAACAGAAGAACGAGACAAAAGGAAAACATGTGATGGAGCAGTATTTATATTGCAATCATTCCAACATTTCAGAAGGGAATGGTTTACAGATGTATACCTCCAATGACATTTACACATCTATTGTTTTCTTAACCTCCTTCCCTACCCTATGACAAGATTCTTTTCTTGAAAAAGATTACAGAGTTCCCCATGCTTTTCTGCGATAAAGAACACATTTCCTCCTGATTACAAGGACATGATGAGCAATAGGACAGGCCAAGTGTTAATGTAAAATCAACTTCAGATAATGGAATAGTTTTGTGATTACTGAAGCATTTCTATTTCATGCTATAAATTCTTCCTGGTCTGAAACAGACCACTTAACCCAGACTTAGAACATCAAGCTGCTAATTTACAGTTGTTTGACAGGAAACCATCTAGAGCAACAAATGTATGGTAGGTAGGGGAGTTTAACAGAAGCCCATCTGGACTTTTAGCTATTGAAGGCAATTTTTTCTTAATAATCTATTAAAGAGAGATGTCATAAAGATGAGTTACCTTCCCTTGGTCATAAATTGCAGAAGCGTTATAAAGAGCCTATTATTTTTTCAACTTTTTCCACCTATTTTCAGTGACAATACATCAACATTTAACTTAGTGTCTTTTGCTTTATCATGAGTCTCAAAGATTTTAAAGTTCTGTTAAGGTCACAGTTGTTGCCTCCGGGAAAGGATATCTTTCTTGGACTCGTGCTTTCTATTAATTTAGGTCTCTGGATTCCTTTATGATGAAATATGCCTTCTTTGAAAAATCAGATTTCAGAGATTTTTTTCTTTTGTATTTCAAGATTTTTGTTATTCCAAACAATCCTCTTCTGGTTAGTCAGTATTCAGATAATTAAAATGAAATTCTTATTATATGACAAATTTGGAATTATTTCAGATAGCTCAAAACTACAAGCATCTGAAGAGGTTTCCTTTCTCTAATGCTTTACGCTCTCACTTACTTCAAATTTTTGTTCAAGTTACAATTTCAGACAGGCCTTTTTTGACATATTCTTTTATATGAATCTTGCCCTACCCCCAACTCTGAGTCTCCTCCCCTGCATCATTCCATTCTGACATGCTCTGTATTTCATTATTTATTTACACTTATTGTCTTTCTCTACCTGTTGGTATGTGACCTCCATGAGAACAGGGGTTTTACACTGGTTCTCCCGCTTCTGTGTGCCCAGAACCTAAAATGGTGCATGTTACACAGTGAATATTAAAATGTATTTGTTGAATAAATGGATAGATAAAAGGTGATGACTAATTTGGCACATTTAGAACACCAAAGGGGGGGAGAGGGTAAAAGTGATTTAGAAATGGCAGATTTAGAAACAAGAATGGTGCGTGACACATAATTGGTGCACAAATTCTTGCTAAATGAGTGATAAATGGATACAAGAATTTTAAACATATATTACAAAAAAAAAAAACCTAAAGTAAAGGTGAAAGAGCCACGAATAGAGCATTCCCAATATCTCAAGAGAAGTGAAGATAATTAAGATAAGGTTATGACACTAGGTATCCATTTCAGAATAAACTTGCTAGAAAATGAAAATAAAATAAAATGTAAAAAAAAGTTTTAATGTTAAAATAGAATTTCAAGGGTGTTTAAAAATATTTCAATATGATTGCCAAAAATGTCTACTTGCTAAAAATGATTAAGACTAAACATAAAGTACAAAAAAGGAGATACTTTCATGTATAGTCTTTTAAATTCCACTTTTAAGTATCTGGGTATTTTGAATATACTTTTGGTATTATTCTATGAAGGTGACACATCAATTTTAATAAGAAGGTAGCAAACACTTCACATATTGTGGTGGTTAATTTTATGTCAACTCATCTGGGATAAGAGATGCCCGGAGAGCTAAAACATTATTTCTGGTTGCATCTGTGAGGTGTTCCAGAAGAGATTATTAGCCTTTGAGTGGTAAACTGAGTAAAGAAAATGGCAATGGTGTTCTGATATGATGTACCCCAAAATCCATTCTACACACCCCTCTGATGAACTGTGTCAGCTGAGCTGCAGGTTTTACAATCAGTGCTTCCTCATTCTTGGGCTTCCAACTGGGTTAGATCAATGGCAGACACTACCTGCCATTTCTTCCCTCTCTTGCAGTAGATCTGCCCTCTCCTCTTTCCTTCACAATTTCACCTCCCAATGTTTTATTAAGTTGTTTTTCAAATGAATACTTTTCTGTTGTGCTAATAGTTCAATAATGAAAACAATAGTCTAATATTTGATTAAGCTGGAACTTTTGGTGCTGGGGAAAAAGTCACTTTGTGTCAGTAAAAAACTCCAACTAAGATAATGGAAAAATCACTGGAGGCTTCCTTCACTTGTGTACTTGGACAGACTTAATTTTGCTGGAGGACACTTAAAGAGATTCCTTTTTTAAAAAGGAAACAGGGTCCATTAGTGACTTTCAGAGGTCAAAATCTTCTGTGACTACAAAATTTGCAGCACATGTCTCTTTGATCAGCATAACACTGCTTGATCATCTTGCTATCAGGGATGCTTAATACTTTTATTTCCTAGTATACTCGCAACTAAATGGTTATATTGTGAAATGGAAAACTGGGAAGTGACATTAATAATATGGCAGAATAGGAGGTTTCCCTCTCACATATCCCCTCAGCAAAAATATTGTGGCAGCTATTCATGCACAGAAGTGCTTTTTGAGAGTTTTTGGATCCAGGTAGAAGATTTTGAAACTCTGGGTTATCCTAAGGCCAAGGAGGGCCATTTTGAGAAAGCAGGCCATAGTTCAGGTGACTGACTTGCTTACTGTGATCTGAACTCAAGATTTCAGAAACAGTTTCATGCCCCTATTAGCTTGGCTACAACCCCACTTTATGTTGGTTTTACCATAGACCAGGAGGACCAGCAGGAGTTATTCCTACTGGTGTCCTAGGTAGCAAGTTCACAAATCTCAGTCCCACTATAGACACTTATAAGATCCACAACCCAATATGAGTTCTTCTTAATCACTAATCTCAATCTGCACCCACCCCAACCCCAGGGACAAGGCAGGAGATACACCAATTCAAGCCCCTGAGGCATGCCCACCCCCCTCAGCCAGCCTGTGAGTCTTGAAGCAGACCCATAGCCTGACTCCAGCTCCTGTTAGTGTGGGCCACAAACACTCTAGGCCAGTTAGGGGCCCTCTGGGAGCTATATTCATCCATGCCCCTGGAGGTAGGCCCATTGAACTCAGTCTGACTACAGATCTTGAAACAGCCCTATAACCTGGCTCCAACCTGTCACAGCTACAGTCAGAGAACAGTCCTGTCAGGAACCCAGAGGAGTAATGTCCAACTATGCTCATGTAGACATGTCTGCCAGCCTCAGTGGGATTTGAAGCATCCCTATCCCTGGTTCCAACCCATCTTAGTCATAAATCCAGGGATAGTCCTGCCAATGTCTATCGAACTGTGAATCCTGGAGAAGTCCTGTGATCTGGCTTTAGTACTTGCAGTCTTGATTCAGGGACAGGCCTGCCCATCTAGCTGCCTAGAAGGAAGCACATCCACTAGTGCCCCTAGAGGAGGACTGAGACCTCAATTCTAGCTGTGGACCCTGGATAGGCCCTGATATTTTTGTCTAGACAGATACACAGATCACTTTAGAGATCGCTGTTACTTAGGTCTGAGCTCTCTCAGATGCTATCTGGAGCCAATCTTTTCTACCCAAGGAGCTTCCCAGTGACCTATTGTGAGTCCAGGATTCAGGAGTCATGTACACACTTGTAACAGGCCCAACAACCATAAGGGCCCA